TATGAGGCATCTCATTCCTTGTCCACAACACATAAAGACACTGGAAATATATGATTCTCAACATTTTGTGCCACCGCCAATAGCAAAACTCCTTCATACTTACTCCTCAGGAATGTCCCATCAACGGCTATTACTTTTCTCATTTCTTGAAAACCAGTTATCCAAGCGACATATGATACAAAGAAGTACTTGAACCTCCCATTTTCATCGAGCGACAATGTCGTCTTGCTTCCTGGATTTGCAATTTTAAGCATATAACGGTACGCATTAAGCACTGCATATCGTGCTCATTTGTTCCCCTAACATTAGACTTAGCATGCTCCATGCCCTTATAAATCTTCCAATAGCTTACCTTACAACTTAATTTTGTGGGGAGTTGATTTGACATGTCTCTTGTGGATGGGCATTTACCATTGGGAAACCTATTTTCAAAGTACTTACCTATGACTTTTGCCGTGGCATGGGGATTATAGCTTGTAAGATGCTCTGAACCACACGTATGGTACTTTTCAAAGATTCTAATGACAAACCTGTCGCTACTTGTAAATTTCACAGCCCTCAGCCACCAATTGCACTCCGGATATGAACATTTAAAAGAAAACACATTACGAGAATTGGTCACCTTTTTCAGTCTAAAATCTTTTTTCAAGCAAGCAATTTTCAATGAATTTGCCAGTTCTTCCTTGATCTTGAATGTCATTCCCTTATAAAAACTGGTTTCATCATCTCGAACATTATTCACACGTGATGATTGAGAAGAACATGGAATGTTGCTGCCAACAATAGGTGTAAGAGGATTGTTGCTCTCAAAGTCCATCATTTCATCTTTTCCAATTTCATCATCGTGAAGCACTGCATAGCCGTGCTCATGTGTTCCCCTAACATTAGACTTAGCATGCTCCATGCCCTTATAAATCTTCCAATAGCTTACCTTACAACCCAATTCTGTGCGGAGTTTATTTGACATGTCTCTTGTGGATTGGCCTTTACCATTGGGAAACCTATTCTCAAAGTACTTACCTATGACTTTTACCATGGCATGGGGATTATGACTTGTAAGATGTTCTGAACCACACATATGGTACTTTTCATAGATTCTAATGACAAACCTGTCGCTACTTGTAAATTTCACAACCCTCAGCCACCAATTGCACTCCGGATATGAACATTTAAAAGAAAACACATTACGAGAATTGGTCACCTTTTTCAGTCTAAAATCTTTTTTCAAGCAAGCATTTTTCAATGAATTTGCCAGTTCTTCCTTGATCTTGAATGTCATTCCCTTATAAAAACTGGTTTCATCATCTCGAACATTATTCACACATGATCATTGAGAAGAACATGGAATGTTGCTGCCAACAATAGGTGTAAGAGGATTGTTGCTCTCAAAGTCCATCATTTCATCTTTTCCAATTTCATCATCGTGATTATTCATGTCCACAACATCAAATTCATTATTTAACATATCTTATTGGTCTTCTTCTAGATTATGATCCTCCTCGATAGGACTTTCATCCACATAGACTCTTAATATGGGCGGTCTCTCTGCTCCTCCAAAATAAACAAGCAAACTAGGCTGATTAGTTATTTTAAAAGGTAAGACCTTCTCATTATGAAAAAAATGAGGAATGTAACTCATGATAAGATCTTTCGATTAACAATTGTATCCACATTTTTGCATGACTAAATTCACAAAATCATTATACAAAATATTTCTTTCGACAGTCATTCCTACCGACCCTCCCCGTTTCTTACCATCCTTCCAACGCTAAATGTATCGATTTTTCTTCTCAACCCGTTCACCACGACAATCAATACCTACAAATAATCCCTCCATTTTCTATACCTGAAGAAATTAATTAAAAAAACAATTAGTACTAATGAAGAAATGTGTAAGTCATATGTTGCAACATATGACTATTCTGTGGTGACATGTAAGTCATATGTTGCTACATATAACTGATATGTTGTGACAAATAAATCACATGTGGCAACATGTGTAAGTTATATGTCGCAACATATAGCTATTCCGTTGTGGAATGTAAGTCATATGTTGCTACATATAACTATTCTGTTGCGAAACATAAATCACATGTTGTGACAAAATGTATAAGTCATATGTTGTAACATATGACTATTCTGTGGCGACATGTAAGTCATATGTTACTACATATAACTGATATGTTGTGACAAATAAATCACATGTGGCAACATGTGTAAGTTATATATCGCAACATATGGCTATTCTTGCGAAATGTAAGTCATATGTTGCTACATATAACTATTCTGTTGCGAAAGATAAATCACATGTTGTGACAAAAAAAATTTATTCTGTGGCGACATGTAAGTCATATGTTACTACATATAACTGATATGTTGTGACAAATAAATCACATGTGGCAACATGTGTAAGTTATATGTAGCAACATATGACTATTCTATTGCGAAATGTAAGTCAAATGTTGCTACATATAACTATTCCGTTGCGAAACATAAATCACATGCTGTGACAAAATATATAAGTCATATGTTGCAACATATGACTATTATGTGGCGACATGTAAGTCATATGTTGCAACATATAACTAATATGTTGTGACAAATACATCACATGTAGCAACATGTGTAAGTTATATGTAGCAACATATGACTATTCATTGCGAAATGTAAGTCATATGTTGCTATATATAACTATTTTGTTGCGAAACATAAATCACATGTTGTGACAAAATGTATAAGTCATATGTTGCAACATATGACTATTTTGTTGCTATTGAAATAACCTTTCTGTTGCTACATAAGACTATAATTTGTTTCAATAGTCAACTGTTGCAACATATATAGCCATCTGTTGGAAATGTGAATGCAAATTATTGAAAAAATTGCGACTACCCAGATGATGATGAATGATTTCAAAGAATTGTTAATTTTACTTACCAAAACAATGGTGTGTGAACCCAATCACTTATGAAGTAATTTCAATTGATACAAAATGAAATCTGGTCCACTGATTAGATTAGCTAAATCTGATTCACGAAGATGAAAAGAAGAAGAAGAAAGCTCAAGGACTAGCAGCCAAGACCAACAATGTACGAAAAGAAGAATAAGAAGATGAAGAGAACGGGAAGAAAGACAAGCAAGCAAGCAAGAACGAAGCAGAAGAAGAATAAGAAGAGGAATACGGTGGGAGGCGGGGGGGAAATGTTTTATTCCCCCCCTTTTGATACAGCTCGTTGGTGGCTTCCCTCCAGTTTTGATTCCCACCAAAATTGGTTAAATTAGGTTTTAGTCATTTACCATTTTACCCCTCATTTAATTCAATGGACCAAACTGCCAACTTATAAATTTGAGGGCAACTCTACAATCCTTAATCATTAGTCACATAATTGTCACCTACACTCAATAATTAAGACTTATGTCACCGCCCCTTTATTTTAACACCTTAATGTCACATTTAATTCAAAGCCCATCTTTTTTTCTCTTTACGTCTTTTTCCTCGTTCCCACTTTAAAAGTGTGTTTTTTTCTGATCTATTTTTTTTATTGTTTCAGATTTTTTTTCCTGTTTAAGTGTTGTTTTGTGGGAAGACGGGGGGAGCGAGGAAGAGAGAGAGTATATAAAATGTGGGTGTCGGTATCAATTTTTTCCGGCGAAAAAGGTGGAGGGCAGTGATGGTAGATCTGGAAAAAACAAGACAATGAAGAAGAAGACCCTAAACAAAAGAAATTTTGCTTGAGAAAAGATTTGAATCGAAAAATCCGACCTCCATTGAAGGAATTCAAGCTTGGGAAAATGATGGGAGTTAGGGGCTTGAGAAGTATAGCAGAAGAAGAGAAAAATAAAATAAAAAATTGGCTAAATATAAGCGCCTTCACGCACCATTAATGAATGTATCACACTCACTATGCTATCTCAGTGTCAAAAAATACCCCATTCTTGTAGCTTTTCTTTTTCTCTGATTAGTATCTTCATGGGAGTGTTTTTGCAGGTATGATGCTAGTGAATGTCTATTACAACTGGACAGCAATGTTAAGATGAAAATATATTTTGCTTTCTTCTTTCTTCCTTTCTCGTGCTTTTGGTTAAGAACATTTCATCTTGAGAAATATTTTATTTATTGCTCTCATTGGTTCGTACAGTATATTTCTCTTTTTTTCCAATTTTAGTTCTTCTGAGTGATGTCAAATTAGCTTTGAAATAATGAATCAAAGTTTCTATAATCTCCTCATCTGAATGATGTAAACCTTTCTTATGGATACATATGTCAAACCTTTCAACTCAAATGATTTATAATTTGCTTTCCTTGTGCATTGCAAGTTTACTTTCGTGTATTGTTACTATTTTTATTTCAACAGCCCTAAATAATTTTGGATTTATGGAAAAATTAGAAGACCAAGAAAAGACGTTCACCCATTGAGGCCATAAAATCTTTTCAACAGTATAAGATGGTTGATTTCTTTCTTTATCAAAATCAAGCATGTTATATTGTTGAAAAGAGTTTATTGGCCTTTGTGGGTGAGTGATTTTTATTGTAGTCTTTAGTGAATGTTGATGATTAACAGTTTAATGACTTTTTAGTTAATTGTAGTTGAGGCTGCCCCTATTGAAGATTGAAGTGAAATGAATGTGTCTAATCTAAACAAGGGAAGGATAACATGTGGACTATGAAGATGATCGAGACAAATGGGCACTCTGCAGTTGTCATCTATGCTGCTCGGACTCGTCAAAAATGTCGTCAGGTGCATGTCAGTTCCTCTAAAAGTAGTCAATTTTTGGAGGATCCGACACTGGTGCGACGTCATTTTTGGGAAGTTTGAGCAACACAGGTTGTCATGTTTGCACCTAATTACTTTGTGTATTTGGTTAAGAAATAAATTTGAATGTGATCATTCATCATAAAAAAATTAAGTGTCAACACTTGGTTGGACAGAGGTTTTGCTTCTTTCTTTATACGAGCTTTCTAAAACAATACAGTATTTTATCTTGGTTTCAGACTGTGGTGATGATATCTTGATATTGGAACTTGCCATTGACAGAGTTTCCCAAAATGGGGAAATTAAACTATTGCTTGGTGAAGAAGAAAAAGAAGTTTCACCATGTTGCCTTCTCCATTGTCTTACTAATGATGGAAGACTTCCCATTTTCCATTTTGCTAGGTAACTCCCCAGCTGTTTCAACCTATATGAGATTATTTTTCAATGGTTTGAACTGGTTTCTTTGCCTGACGTTGATCATTTTTTCTGAAGGATCTATGAATTAATATAAATGTCTTTGTAGTGCTACTGTTGCTTCAGTGTCACCCCAGTCTACTGATTTTGAAGAAAAAAAAATGACACTTCTATAGTGGCATGGCATCATCACAAGATGTGCTAGTTGAATGTTTTAGTGCTAGGAAGCAAATCAACCAAGTGGATTCAGGGCTGCAACCCCCTGAAATAGACAGAGGTCACAAAAAAATTTCAGCAAATGCTCAATCATCTGCAACAGAAAAATTTAGCTCAGAAGAAGTGGTTAAAACCACAAATCAGGTAAGGGAACCTCTCTCATCAGCAGGAAGCTATAAGCAGCAAGAAGCAAAGATATCTTCGATGACAATTAATCTTGGTAGAGTCTAAACTGCAGAACCAAGGTGCAAATTTGGAGAAGTCCACATCCAAAACATCTGTGCCTGTGGATGCTGGACGTGTGAATAATTTTAGGACACAACAAACTCAAGAAGTAGCTGAAGTTAAACCTCGTACAATTTCTTTCTCAGGAAATTCCTTAGGTAATTTTTCCATTCCTTCAATTGGGCCAATTGCTGGAACTGGCAGTGTCATGGAGTTACCTGTAAAGATGGCATTAACAGGATTTTCTACTGCTTCATCAAACTCAAGCAAACTTCAAATTTCTTCAAAAAGTGATGAAACACTCTCATTCCACGCCATTTAGTGGTGATCTAAGAAGAACTTTTGATTCTTCTGATAGAAATTCTTCTATTGCAAATGAGACAGCTGCAACTTCAGTATCAATCGGTTCTTTCAAGCAAAGAGCCATGGCGGGAGCAGGGAGTATTGAATCATTACCTGCTTTTCCCCGCGCAAGGTTGCAATCGCAGAAGGTTTTCCGTCGGAGCCTCACTTCACCAGGGAGACTTATGAGGCAATTCCATCTAATCAATTCCATGATGTAAGTTTTATCTTGGATGAAATGTAAAGGTTGAGTGTGGTTGTATGTGTGCCTCTGTATCCTGTATCAACATGCTCTCTTTTTCATTTATCATCATTTTTCTTTGGAAAGTTAAATGCATTCTTTTATCTATTCTGGGAAGTCTCCATCTTGACCTATTTCTTTCAGTCAGTCCTTTTGGTGTGATAAGAATTATTAATTTCTCAATATTTAGCAGTAAGCTAGTTCCTCAATTTCTGCCAATATAGTTAAACTGATTGGTTGTGCATAATTTGGAACGACTAATATATTCTCAATTGAACCTAGATCTTCGTGTATGCTAGTATATGCTCCTCCTATGATAATTTATGTCTTCCCAATTGTGTTTTTTAATAGTGAGAGTTTTATATTAGGATTAAGTCATTCATGACCATCTAAAGTTGTCCATATATTTCACTTGCACACCTCAATTAAGAGTTGTATCAATTGAACACCTCTCTTATTCAAAACATGTACCTATTAAATACTTTTTGATAACATGGCATCATAGGTGTAATACACCTCTAGAAGCGCGTGAAACAAAAAAAATTACTTACAGACCAATCACAAAATAACATGTCAACATTTAAAAAGTCGAGCAAACATTTCAACATTAAATAAAATCGGGAAAATGCATAAGTACCCCCCCCCCCCCCC